TCCGCTACGGCAGCCGCGCTTCCACGGCCCGGGAGGTCGGAGCGCGCCGGGTCTGAAAGGCAACGGCCGCGTTTTGCGCAGAGCAATGCCTGGATATATCAACGCACGGGGGGTTTGCTGCCGTGAAGCTCTGGGGGCTCTGCCTCGCCCGGAGGCGCATGCAGTGACGTGGGGGGGATGCTGCTAGCCCTTTCATCCCAGGGGACGTCTGGAGGAAACAAAGTCACCTGAACAACAACCAGACGCCGCTGAAAGAGGGATGTGCACGCTTCTAGAGCTCCCTGGGTATACTCAGCGTGAACGACTGGTCAGAGAGTAGAGGGGCTCTCGGGAATGCAGCCCTCGGGGCGGATAAAGGAGGGCCGGGGCTGTACTCCTCACTGGTCTCTGCCGTGCCTCGGGTGCGGGACTGGGGGCAGCAGGGACTCCTGCTTGTTTTTAAGCTACTGAGGGTTCTGTACTTTCCGAGGAGGCACCAAAATGCTCAGGGATTTGTCTCCTGGTGAGTTCCAATAGCTCTAGTTCTGATGATGTTAAACCCTTGGGAAGATTTCAAGAGCTGTCAGTCTCTACCACACCTTTAAGCAAAGCTGGTGGCCGGGAAGGACTCTGGGCTTTCCTTACTCTCCAGCGCAGCTGGGTAGAACTAGACTGGATCTGCATTTGGGACCACACTCCTTGCACAGCCATGCGCGGACGCTGGCTGGGGGGGATGTGGGGAAGGTCTCCAGCGACTGCTGGTGCCAGTTACACGTGTTCTGGAAATACGGGAGAGTGGGGATTTACCCAGGTGTGTCTGAAATCCTCGACTCAGTAATATGCTGGAAACGGGGGATGCGAAGAAAGCTGTTGTCAAGACCAGCTTGGTGTTGACCCTCGTGTCCCTGTGCCTCACCCTCGCATCCATCCGTGGTCACCTCTGGTGCCTTTTCAGCGTCCAGACTGCCCCAACGCCTCGGTCCGTGGTTCTGCTTGGTGGTAGCAGGTGACAGCAGCGTATTTACAACCAAACTCAACAGGACCAAATTGCACTTTGTTGGCAATAAATTGTTGCCCCTCGCACGGCGACAGGCCGGTCACCAGGCGAGCGGGGAGGTCATCCTGGGGCTGCGCTGGCTCTCGCCAACCTGCACATCGCTGAGTGCCCGCTGCAGGGAGAGAGCAAAGAGCAGGAGCTGAGGCTCAGGTGAGGGCAGCTGGTGTGGACGGGGAGGATCTTTCAATGACATGGGCCACTAAAGACTTAAATCTCACCCGGCTTCCTGCTGGACAAGCCCTGACAGTCAGTGGATCTGCTTTGTGGTGCTCCAACCCCGCCTTCATTAACCAATGAGCAATGTTGTCAACGTCCAACCATGACAACCATCTGCTTTGGTCTCCACGGGGCTGGCGCTTGGACCACCAGCCCTCACCTCAGCCTCTCCCACCCACCAGCCAACTTGGACGTTGGGAGAATCGCACTTTACAGACGCCCAGGTACACGTGCTCGCAAAAAGCTCATCTTGTTCCCACAGCTCACGTGCAAGTAAAAAGCTTCGCTGACATCTAACAGGAAACCCCTCGCTGGCTGGCTTTGAAAAGCACAACTCACCTCAAACTTGCTCATGAATTCTGCAAAAATGCCAAAGAAGGCTTCAGAAGTTGTCATTTTTGAGTCTTCCCCAAAGAAGGACAAGACCTTGCTGAATTCGTCCATGGCCTTGTGCTGCAGGTCGTCCAGGGACCGCATGGCAGGCTGGGCACTCTCCAGGAAGGACTGGGAGAAATGGCTTAAGGGAAAACGGCCACACGCTGGGTCTGGTACAGACCAGAATCCCTTCTGCTTGTCAAATGGCTGCGTTTCAGCTCAGGTCTAAGAAGGGACCTTCTGCAAACACGGGCTGGGCCACCAGCGAGGGGAGCCCGCCGGCACGCTCAGCTGCCCCTGACAGCACGGCCGGGGAAGGAAGGACGGCGCACAGAGCTCTCTGGCCTCGTGGCACTGGGTTCTGCCACACAGAGGCATGGGAACCGGCGCTCACCACGGAAGCTGTTTCCCACACTGGCGAAGAGCAAGTGGAGGGTGGAGGTTTCCACCACGCTCTCACCCAGTGCTGAGCTGGCGCTTCCTTACCAGCTGGACACAGCCCTGCTGAGTACCAGGGAGGCCTAAAGACAGCGACGTGGCTTTACTCGAGGGCAGTGCGTCACACGGGTGCTCTGCCCCTTTTACGGAAGGATACAGCCATCACAACTGCAAATCTGTCCTCTGCGGTAGCCGGCATGTTGCGGCAGGCCATCTGGATGTCACTGACGGTGGTGTGCAGGTCCTTGAGGTCAGCCGTTAGAGTCCTCTGGTTCACTGCGGGAGAAGAGAGGAGTCAACAGTGTTAGGAGACTGGGGTCTGGCTTGCTTCCTGCGGCAAAGCGAGGGCAACGAGCGTGGGCCGTGGGGCAGGGTGGTTCAGGCTGTCTCTCTGCGTGGTGGACAACCAGAGCTTCGTGCTGGGCTCCAGCAGGTTGCCAGCACCCGTTGCTGGGTGCTCAGGCCAAGAGATGCCCAGAACCTCAGAAGGAGCCTGGAACGTGCCCAGTGCAAGGGGCACACAGGACTCAGGGGTGATACCCAGGCCACCCTCCGCGGCATCTCGGCACAGCACCAGCATTCAGGAGAGCGTCAAGCAGTTCAGACTCCTTGCTGCCGTGGGCAGCCAAGCCTGAGCTCTTCTAGACACAAGGGAGAAGGTGACCCGCGGCACGTCAGGAGGGCTGGGGTTACGTGCTGCAGCGGTGTCGCTCGCTGGCCTGCACGAGGGCGAAGCTGGGCAGCCCCGAATGGCACCAGTCTGAAACTGGGTGTAAAGCTGCAGGAATGTGGGCAGCAGGGAGCCTTCGGTGACAGAAGTGTTATTTAACAGGCCAGATACAAAATCCAGCTAGCAAAGCTCCAGGTACAGACTGCCATCGGGGGGAAGCGTACATCCCCAGGCCTGAATCTTCTCCTTTACTGATCCACTGTAGCACTAATTCCCAAGGGAATTACCCACAAACAACATGGGATGGTGGGCAAGGAGAACGCAGCCCGTGCTCCGCACGCAGCCAGCCCGCTGTGACACCACCAACACAAGGGGATGGACGAAAACCCCAGCATCTACGTGACCTTTTTGAATTGCAGCCAGTGAAGCTGTACGGTCCTCAGTCAGCGTGACATACCTGCGACTGGACTGTGACCTCCTAACACGACGGGTGCTGTGCGCTCTGCGCCCCAGGCGATGCCACGCCGGGGAGGGAAGGAGCACGGGGCTGGGGCGGGCAGAAGGGCTCCTGGCACTGCTGTGCCTCATTTGCACTTACGAGATGCCCCTGACCTTGGGAACGGCTTTCTCAAGTCAGGAGGAAGGTTCAGGTCAGGGACAGAGCCTTGTCTACGCAGCGTGGGATGGGTGGGACCTCCCCTGTCACCAAGCTCGTCCCTTCCTAGCCCCGTCCTCTTGCTCAGGACCATTCCTGACGTGTGTGGGCCACCATCCTGCTCGTGCCAATGCTGTGCAGCTCGTGGCCAATTCTAGACCTGTACAAAACCCAGAGACAGCGCAAAGAGACAAAGAGCTTTTGTTCGTTTACCTTTGGCAGCGAGCGGCACTGTAGGAAGATCCTTGGCAAAGCCCAGGAGCTCTGGGAAATGTTGGCTAAGTGATTTGGCAAGAATGTGCAGGAAGGTGGATTTCCCATCAACAGTCTTGGTTGTGTTCAGCTACGGCAAAGCAAAACAGGTGAGGAGATTCCTGTGCGGAGGGAAGGGAGTTTCGCCGAGCGCCCCAACACACAGGGCTCCTCTGTTCTGCTCAGCTCGCCCTCTGCTCACGTGCATGGCAATCCCCAGCCACGCTCTGCGGATTAATGTTTAAACAGCACATTTAATGTTTACACAGCGTGTTACGCCCAGGTTAGCAGCGTCGAGGTGCTAAGCAATGCCTCCCTCCGGCAGGGCAGGGCTGCCACCCTGTCCCCCACAGCAACCCAGGCACAATAAAGCCCTTCATGTTCTCCCACCCTGCAGCCCGACGGCCGTGGGCTCTGGCCAGCCTGGCACCGGCACGCAGGTCTCGAGCCCCAGACCGTCGTTCGGGCCCCTCTGAAGCCAGCCCTGCGCATCCGCCCAGCCCTGCCGCCGGTCCCCGCTCTGGGAGCCTTGTATGAGGACGGGCACGATGAACCGGGCACGTGGAGCTCCCGGCGTCGGTGCCTGCTGCGCGGGAGCAGGCATGCTGCGTCTTACCTCCGTGAGAAAGTTGATTTTGAAGCCTGTTGTTTTGCTGGTCTTGGGCTGCCCGTTGTTCAGATAGTTTCCCATAGCCAGCACGAACTGCAACGAGAAACCCCAGCAAATGACTGCCCGGTGACCTCCAGCACTCACAGCGTCCACCTCCATCTCCTTCTGCGCCCATTTTGCCATGTGCTGCGGGTGGGTGCGTGGCCGTCGGCGATCTGCCCTCCGAACCCTCCCAGGGGCAGGATCCCCGCGAGCCCACACCAGCGGGGGCTGCCGGGGATGGAGCCTGGATGAGCAGGGGCTGGAGGGGCCGGGGGCACAGCCGTGGGGCTGGAGCTGCATGGGAGGT